AGTCTTGCTGTGTTGCCCAGGCTGGAGTACAGTGATGCAATCTCGGCTCACTGCAACCTCCACCTCCCAAGGTCAAGCGATTCTCATGCCTCAGCCTCCCAAGTAGCTGGAACTACAGGCACATCCACCACGTCTAGCTAATTTTTATATTTTTTTAAGAAATGAGGTTTCATCATGTTGGCCAGGCCGGTCTCAAACTCCTGACCTCAGGTGATCCTCTCACCTTGACCTCCCAAAGTGCTGGGATTATAGGAGTGAGCCACTGCACCTGGCCACTATACCTCTGTTAAAGCTAAACATATCCATTATAAGTAAGTGCAAGTAGCTAACCGCTTCATGACACCTTCTCATGTCGTAGTGCCAGACTATGTTTGTACAGAAATACACAGTATTTAATATAAAGGACATCCCCTTTTCTCTCATTATCTTACAGTTTGGGCAATGTTATACTATCTGTAAATTTACTTTAACAACAGTATAGAGTATAAACAAAAGGCACTGAGTCTGATATTACTGAAAATCACTGGACTGGAAAGAAGAAACTTGGGATATGAGAAGTATTAAAAATAAATAAATAGACAGAGCTTAGATGGAATAACAGAAGTGTCATCTGGCTGGGTACAGTGGCTCACACCTGTAATCCCAGCACTTAGAGAGGCCAAGGCGGGTGTATCACTTGAGTACAGGAGTTCAAGACCAGCCTGGGCAACATAAGGAGACGCTGTCTCTATAGAAAAATTTAAAAATTAGCCAGGCATTGTGGTGCACACCTATAGTCCCAGCTACTCAGGAGGCTGAGGTGGGAGAATCACTTGAGCCAGGAATGCTGAGGCTGCAGTGAGCCATGACTACATTACTGTACTCTAGCCTGGCCAGGCGTGGTGGCTCATGCTTGTAATCCCAGCATTTTGGGAGGCGAAGGTGAACAGATCACAGAAGTCCAGGAGTTCAAGACCAGCCTCGGAGACACGGTGAAACCCAATCTCTATAAGAAATATCAAAGTTAGCTGGGCATGGTGGTGTACATCTACAATCCCAGCTACTCCAGGTGGATCACTGAAGTCTGGGAGGGTGAGGCTGCAGTGAGCCGAGATCATGCCACTGCACTCCAGCCTGGGCGACAGAGTGAGCCGGTCTCAAATTTTAAAAAAACAGAAGTGTCATCTGTTGGGATATTCCTGCCCCTTAGGATAAAGCCAGAGGAAAAGGAGTGCAAAACAGAGTTTTGCAAGAAGAGTTTCTCAAGTATCCACAAATAACAGCAACAGGTTGTGGGGCAGATGGTACTAAAAAGACTCCAGAGAGAAATCTGGAGAATGTTCTTCTGACAACGGCAGAGGCTAAGAACCAGGTTCTTTATGAAGAAGGACCAGAGTAACTGGAGCATCCAGCAAAGGTCAACTGCAGACTGTGAAGACAGGCACGGGCAGTCCAGGAGAGAAACGAAGGCCAAGGGATGTTTCCTGTAAAGCCCAAGAGGGCACAATGGGAAAGGAAGGCACAGGGAGAGCTGGGCTCACAGTGGAAGGAGCACACAGAAACACAAAGCGCAAGATGGCCAGCGGGAGGGATCGCAATCACGAACCCAGGATAGAGACGTTTTAAAACAGTAATACAGGACGTAAAAGTCAAGCATTGTTGGAGAAGAAAAGTTAGTTTCATTAGCAGATGCTGATGATGATGACGATGGTGATGATGACTTCCGAGAAGAAGCCTGGCTCTGTGGCCTAGGCTAGAGTTCAGTGGCACAATCTTGGCTCACTGCAACCTCTGCCTCCCGGATTCAAGTGATTCTCCCACCTCAGCCTCCAGAGTAGCTAAGATTAGAGCCAAGTACCACCATCCCAGGCTAATTTTTTTTTTTTTTTTTTTTTTTAGTAGAGACAGGACTTCACCATGTTGGTTGGCCAGGTGGTCTCCAACTCCTGACCTCAGGTGATCCGCATGCCTCAGCCTCCCAAAGTGAGCCACGACACCCGGCCTAGTACTGTCAGAGTTGAACTAACCAATAACAGTAATGAGAGTGAGTTTTATATGGAGACCCTTGCTAGGGCGGAATGGCCTAAGAAACGGTCTGGCGGACAGGCCTGGAGCTGCTACATCACCAGGAACGGAGTTAGTGGAGGCCTGCAGTAACTCAGCTCCTGGAGATACAGCCACAAACAGCGGCAAGAGACGAAAATCAGGTACCTGATAAAAAGCCCTTATCCAGAATCTAAAAGAACTTTTACAATCCAACAAGAGATACATAGTCCCATGTAAAAATGGGCAAAGGATTTGAGGGGACATTTCTCCAAGGAAGATATACAAACATCCGATTTGCAAACGAGAAGATGCTCAATATCACGGTCTGCAGGAAGACGCAGACCTCTAAGAGATACCACCTGACACCCCCAGGATGGCAATCATCAAAAATATGAACAATAACAAATGCTGGCAAGGCTGAGGAGAAATCGGAACCCTCACACACACAGGTAGGAAATGAATGAAAACATATCTCCATGCAAAGACGTGTACCTATGATAATGTCGGGCGGGCACAGTGGCTCATGCCCGTAATCTCAGCATTTTGGGAGGCTGAGGCAGGTGGATCACCTGAGGTCAGGAGTTCGAGATCAGCATGGCCAACATGGTGAAACCCCATCTCTACTACAATTACAAAGATCAGCTGGATGTGCTGGTGGACTCCTGTAAGCCCAGCTACTCAGGAGGCTGAAACAAGAGAATTGCTTGAACCCACAAGGCAGAGGTTGCAGTGAGCCAAAATCACGCCACTCCAGCCTGGGTGACAGAGCAAGACTCTGTCTCAAAATAATAATAAGAATGATGTCTATAGCAGTGCTATTTACCCACTGATTTTTTTTTTTTTTTTTTTTTGAGACAGGGTCTCACTCCATTGCCCAGGCTAGAGTGCAGTAGTGCAATCACAGCTCATTGCAGCCTCAGCCTCCCAGGCTCAAGCAATCCTCCTGCCTCAGCCCTCCAAGTAGTTAGGGCTATAGGCATACACTCAACTAATTTTTTTGTAGGGACAGGGGTCTCCCTGTATCGCCCAGGCTGGAGCATTTTTCATAACATCCAAAAAGAAAAAGGAACCCAAATGTCCATCAACTGATAAACAGATAAACAAAATGTGGTATATTCATACACAAATTGTTATTAGACATGAAAAGGAATTAAGTACTGATGCATAATACAACATGGATGTACCCTGAAAACACTTTACTAAGTGAAAGAAACCAGGCACAAAAGGACACATACTATACAATTCCATTTACATGAAATGCCCAGATTAGGCAAATTTATACAAATAGAAGGTAGATTAATGGTTCCTTGGGGCTTAGGGGAGAAAGGAGTATGGGAATTGGCTGCTTATGAGAGCAGGATTTCTTTTAGGGGGGACACAAATGTTCTACAGTAAGTACGACTATGGATGCAGAGCCTGTGACATTACTAAAAACCATGAAACTACACACTTTAAATGGGTGAACTGTATGTAAATGTTATCTCAATAAAGTTATTTAAATGGCATACAGAAGAAATTCACAAGTTGATTCTAACCTATATAGAAATGGAAAGAACTGGCAGGGCAGCATGGTTGACGCCTGTCATCCCAGCCCTTTGGGAGGCCAAGGCTCTCTGGCCAACATGGTGAAACCCCGTCTCTCCTAAAAATACAAAAAGTAGCTGGGCGTGGTGGCACGTGCCTGTAATCCCAGCTACTCAGAAGGCTGAGGCAGGAGAATTGCTTGAACCCAGGAGGCGGAGGTTGCGGTGAGCTGGGATCACACCACTGCACTCCAGCCTGGGCGACAAAGCGAGACTCCATCTAGAAAAATTAAAAAAAAAAAAAATGAAATGCAAAAGAAGGGTGGAAGCAATCTTGGCCATAAAACAAAACCAGGATGGAGAACTTACGCTACGTAATTTCAGACTGACTACAAAAGCTTACAGAACCACGACAACATGGTATTGGCACAGGATAGACAAACCTATCAGTGGCACAGAATGTAACTCTTCAGATGGACTCTTCAAATAGGCCAGAAATAGGCCTGCCCATATGACAGACTGACCATCTACAATGGCCTAAAAAGTAATTCAATGGAGAGAGAAAGTGTGACGTTACCAGAATCATCGTGGAGTTACTGATGTTAAGAAAGCCCTGGCAAAGACGGCTGGGGAAGGTCATGAAGAGAGGGCTCTCACGCTTGCGTGCCTGGTAACAGGAAAGATTCTACAAAAGCCACAACGTGAACAAAGGCCATCACAACCTTACACAGAAATACTTCTGTGACGACATCAGCCCAGCAACTGCCTGTCCATCCTCTGACAGCATCCCCCTTGTAACTGACCTTTGTAGGAAAGAATGATGACCTCAGAACAGTTCGGTAACACTCCGCGTTTCTTCCTTTGAAGCTGGATATAAGCTGGGCATGGTGGCTGATGTCTATAGTCCCAGCGCTTTGGGAGGCCGAGGCGGGTGGATCAGCTGAGATTAGGAGTTTGAGACCAGCCTGGCCAACAATGGCAAAACCCGGTCTCTACTAAAAGTACAAAAGAAATTAGCCAGGCGTGGTGGTATGCGTTGTAATACCAACAACTAGGGAGGCCGAGGCAGGAAAATCTCTTGAACCCGAGAGGCGAAGGTTGCAGTGAGCTGAGATTGTGTCACTGTACTCCAGCCTAGGCAACAGAGCAATACTCCATCTCAAAAAAAAAAAAAAAGGCTGGGTGTAGTGTGTACAATATTTCCAGCTATTTGAGGAACCAAGTCAGGAGGATCACTTGAACCCAGGAGTTCAGCCTGGACAACATAGCAAAATCTCTCTCTTGAAAAAAAAAAAAAACATAAGCAAAAAACAACTCTTTGCCTTCCTGAAAACGGACGTAGTTTATTAACAGATACATATTCCCACTGCTATGTTCTCTTCCCAAATAAGTATCTTTTCTTTTAGAAAGAGGCCTCTGTTTGTTATCTGGTTCACATAACTGGTGTCAGAAATGGGACCTGAAAAAAGAGCAGCAGCAGAACTGGAGACTCAGCCCCACTGTGCGGCACTCGCTGGAGTCCTCCACCTCTCACCTCTGCGGTCCTTTTCTGCCCTGTGAGTCTTCTCTCAGTCTGAGCATCCTGCCTTTAAGTAGAGGCTTTTTTACTTTATTGAGAACACAGATTGGATACGGTCACCTTAATAATCGTTCACACATCCCTCTTGGGATGACAGACTTTTCACCTTTTCTGATAAGCATTTTGTAGTATAAAGAAAAGTGTCTTTATGGACTGAGTACTCTTGATTTCTAAAACACGAACATTCTCTCTGGGAGGCGTGATTTCTCTGGTTTGTGTGCCTCATTTAACAGCTTATTTGATCTGCATGCCTACATTAAAATGCTTTTGAATACCTTATCTTGGGTTCTTTTCATTTGGTTTGACTCTTCCCAGGCTTGTTTCTGAAAACTTTCTGAGACCAAAATAAATGTTCTGGATATTGGGCGCAGGATGAATAATTAAATGCCACTAGGTGGCCGAGCACAGTGGCTTACACCTGTAATCCCAGCTCTTTGAGAGGCCAAGGCAGGTGGACCAGGAGGTCAGGAGATGGAGACCATTGTGGCCAACATGGTGAAACGCCATCTCTATTAAAAATATATATTTTTTTAATTAGCTGGACATGGTGGTGTGCACCTGTAGTCCCAGCTACTCGGGAGGCTGAGGCAGGGGAATCGCTTGAACTCAGGAGGCAGAGGTTGCAGTGAGCCAAGACTGCACCACTGTACTCCAGCCTGGAGACAGAACAAGACTCCATCTCAAAAAAATAAAAAAGAAAAGAAAAAGCCACTAGGCTGCTGGGTGCAGTGGCTCACACTGTAATCCCAGAACAGTGGGAGGCCAAGGCAGACAGGTCACTTCAGCTCAGGAGTTCAAGACCAGCCTGAGCAACGTGGCGAAACCCTGTATCTACCAAAATATACAAACAATTAGGCAGGCATAGTGGTACGCACACCTGTAGTCCCAACTACTCGGGAGGCTCAGGCAGGAAGATCGCTTGAGCCTGGGAGGTTGGGGGTTGCGGTGAGCCAAGACTGCACCACTGCACTCCAGCCTGGGTGACAGAGTGAGACTCAATCTCAAAAAAAAAAAAGCTACCAGGGTGGTTGCCGCCATCTAAAACAAAGCTTTCCTGACATTCCCTCATGGGATTTATATAATTTTCTTTGCTCTCAAGAGATTAATAAGAAATGGAGTAAGATTCTCAAACATTTAGGCATCCTAGGTTTTCTAGGACTATAGAAGGCTATATATTATGGCCTATTCTTCTGCACATTTTTAAACTGATGGGCAAATTACAAGGAAAATTCAGAGCACTAAGGATCATTATTCAAAAAGACCTTCAACTCTAGCGTTAACATGTAGAATCTTGTAATTCACTATCCCTCTATTTGTTTTTCTGCCTACTTTAAATCTGCTGACGTTTCTACTGGTGTTGAGATGAAACTCACTGCTTTTGGCATTCCAGCCAGGATATTTTTTACAAAGAGAGAGAGAGAAGTCTTAAAGGGCTTTCAAATTAATGCCTTTACAAATTACAACAGCTCCATGGTAACCAAAAACTTTGACACCTTTTAGAAATATAAATTTAGGTTTTCCTAACTACCAACTGTGTATGGTGATGGAACATTTAATTGAAAAATTAATCTCTAAAAGAAAAAGAACTAGATAGATGTTTCTAATGCTAGGCACTCAAGTCAAACATGTCAAAATCTTGAGCTCAGAGCAGTAATAAAAGGTATGTCTATCCAGCATACACACACAAAAATATCTTGCTTTTTCTGGCACACAGAGGCCAAAAAGAAAAAGCCGAAACAGGCCAGGCTTGGTGGCTCATGCCTGTAATCCCAGCAATTTGGGAGCCCGAGGCAGGTGGATCACTTGAGGTCAGGAGTTTGAGACCAGCCTGACCAACATGGCAAAACCCCATCTCTACTAATAATACAAAAACTAGCTGGGCATAGTGGCATATGCCTGTAATCCCAGCTACTTGGGAGGTTGAGGCACAAGAATTGCTTGAACCGGGGAGGCAGGGGTTGCAGTGAGCTGAAATCGTGTCATTGCATTCCATCCTGGGCCACAAGAGCAAAACTCCATCTCAAAAAAAAAAAAGAAAAAGCCAAAAGAAAAACAAAAAAACACCTGCTAAAATTCTTCTCTGCCTACATTTGCTAATTAAGCAAACCAGACACGCAAACAAAAGATTTATCTGTTACTAATTCAATGCTACCTAGAGACTTTATTTTACTTATACAATTCAGCCAGTCCTAGCTACTACGTAAACATTAAACATTTAACCCCAAACTCATCTGAAACTACAAAAAAGTGTCAAGGGAAGGGGATGATATAAAGACTTTCTAAAAATCAAAGTGTCATGGAAACTGCTGTACCCAAAATTGTGGTCCATGGCCTTCATTAGATTAGCTATTGAGGCAAATCAAGTTTAGCCATAGGAACAGCTCCAGTTTTGCCACAAACATAATTTGGATCCAACTGTTTTATAAACCAATGAGTTTATATTATCACATTGTGATAAAAATTTAAAAATAAAAAACTATCAGATCTTTATTTTTGTGCATATTTATGTGTTTATGCGTATTTACATGTACTGTATGTTGTGTCGACATTGTATAACTTGGCATAGTTAGTTGGAAGAAGTCCCTTAAAGACAAAGGGTGCTCATATAAAATATATAGTAATTATCCCAAGTGCCTTTTAGTTCACATGATTTATGGAAGTCTTTAATCTATAAGCTGGCTTAAAGTTATTGGTAAAATATAAATTAAAATGTCTTGAAAATTGTCAGGATGCATCTTTGCCTAGTTTTACTGCTCAGACAGTTCATATTTGTCTCAACCAGGTATTTTCAGACATCAGGGCTTCACACTGAGGTTATAAAACTGTAAGCCCAGCCTAAAATAGAATGATCTTTGTGTAGTATTTTGATAAATAAGACTAACTTGTCACTGTTGGTTTAAAAAAAACAGGTGTATATTCTGAGTTATTGGACACCTGATATTCACAGGCAATAAAAAGTATTAATAGGGAAATAACTGGAAATGACACTAGCTTTGTCTAATATCTCAATTCTCATGAGCAATCTAGGAAAACAGTTAATAAATAAATAAATAAACGTAAATGGGATAAATGCTTATAAATGAACTTTTCAAGCAATTTGAAATCTTAAAGTTATGTTAAATTAAAAAATAGGTACTGATTGTCTGAGTCAGTCCCAACTAAGATTTTAAAAATTCTCTTACAAGGAAAGAAACTTCTAAAAATTGTAAAATGGTTATCATTTATAAAATAGTTATAAGTGAAAAACAATGCAAGATCTTGCTTTCTATGTTTTCACTAAAAGTAAAGGTTACAAACAGTTAAAAATTGTAATGAATATGTATAATTCTATATATAAAATGTGCCTGAATACATAAGGTATGTTTTTAATAGGAAAAAAAGTATAAGATGGGCATAAAACTGTGGTCCTTGCTCTTTGAGGAAGCTGTGGTCGTAGCCGTTGTGGATCTGTAGTCCGCAGGCTCCTGCTCCAGACTCACCGCGTGGAGCTGCAGGTGGCGATTCACCGGATTCGAATCACTCTAACCAGCCGCAGCGTGAAGTCGCTGGAGAAGGTGTGTGCTGACTTGATCAGAGGAGCAAAGGAAAAGAATCTGAAAGTGAAAGGACCGGCTCGAATGCCGACGAAGACTTTGAGAATCGCTACAAGAAAAGCACCTTGTGGTGAAGGTTCTAAAACATGGGATCGTTTCCAGATGAGAATCCACAGTCCTTCTGAGATTGTTAAGCAGATTACTTCCTTCAGTATTGAGCCAGGAGTTGAGGTGGAAGTCACCATTGCAGATGCTTAAGTCAGTTATTTTAATAAATTGATTACCAGTTGTTAAAAAAAAAAAAAATGTGGTCCTTACTGAGAAAAGAATGATTTAGAGTCAGGCACAGTGGCTCACATGAGGGAAACTGAGGTGGGAGGATCACTTGAGGCCTGGAGCTTCCGGCTACAGTGAGCTATGGTTGTGCCACTGCACTCCAGTCTGGCTGACAGAGTGAGACCCTGTCTCAAAAATATAAAAATAATTTTTTTTAATTAAAAAATTTTTTAAAGAACAATTTTGTCTAATTTAGAATTTATTTAAAGGTTATTTCAAAATACAGATATGAGAAAGAAACAGAATACAGAAATGGAGAGAGAGATGTGAGAAAAGTTATGGATATGAAGATATGTTTTCTAAGGAAGGTTAAAAACAAAAAAGTAACTTTGTATGAGAAAGAATCTCATGTAATAAATTTTTGTTCTAAACTAAAGTGACTCATTATTAAGGATAAGGAATTGTAGGGCAAAGCAGAAAGTCCAAGCACATCAACAATAATCTGAGAAAAGTCATAATCAAGTTCAGGAAAAGACAATGTATAAAAGAAATTTTGCATGTCATTAAATTGGCTATACTTAAAAGGGACTGTTTATACTATCTTTCTAAACACTGATCTATGATGCTAAAATATACTAATATAAAAACATTTAAATTTGGTTACCTATGTTAAAACAACAGGGTTTACCTAAAGTATTTGCTCTTAATAAAATTGTAACCGGTTTTAATTTTTACTTCTGAAATGTTTCTTTAACACTCATCTTCTGAACTATTTCTATTTCTTCCTGAGATCTCATTGATTGTCCTACTCTCAGGCTAGAGATGCAGTGTTTTCATTTCACTTATTCAGGAAAAGTTCTTTCTTTTTGAAATTTCTCAAATTTATATTAGAAGCACAACCTTTGCTGTACCTCACTGTAACTTCCAGATCATACATCACTGCCTTCTGTTCTTTCTCCTCTTGAAAAGGTATACCTTTTTGCTTGGCTGGAGTGATAACTCTCTCCAACCTTTTTGTCAACTCCTCTAACTTTTTTTTCCTAGTTCTAACTCTGCTGTTATGGCCTGACACTAACATGTTTATATTAAAAGCCTAGAAAGCAATGTTTTCCTGTAGTATAATTTGATTCTGTGCTCTTGGCTTTCCTTGATGTGTCTAAATTGTTCCCTGTAACGAGGAAACTTCCCATGCTGTTACTAAGAATCACGTATTCCCCTACTCAAGGTACCAGTGTTTTTGTTGTTGTTTTTCTTTTTAGACAGTGTCTCATTCTGTCGCCTAGGATGGAGTGCAGTGGCGTGATCTCAGCTCACTGCAACCTCTGCCTCCCTGGTTCAAGCAATTCTCCTGCCTCAGCCTCCTGAATAGCTGAGACTACAGGTGCGCACCACCGTGCCCCGCTAACTTTTGCATTTTTAGTAAAGGTACCATTTCACCATATTGGGCCAGGCTAGTCTTGAACTCCTGAACTCAAATCAATCCACCTGCCTCGGCCTTCCAAAGTGCTGAGATTACAGGCGTGAGCCCCCATGCGCGGCCACAAGGTACTAGCTTTCGTCTTTACATTCCTCCATACACTCCTGACCCTAGATAGATACTTTCTGTTTCTGAGTAAATTCAAGTACCCTTTTAATCAGGTCTGACTTCCAGGTTACCTAAATGCGTTTCCCATAAAGAGACACAATCACACTACAAAAGGATTTTTTTTTGCATTTCTGGTGACTGGCCTTAAGAAAAAACAAAGATTTTATGTTTTATCAAGAAAATCCCCTATGCTGTCTTTATTAGATTTTCAATTACTTGGGAAAACTGAGCTTTAAAAGGTTAAGGTTTTTCTCTCCATGTGACTCTCCATATTGCTTTTGAAGTCTTTTAATTATCACTCTGATTAAATGAATAACTATTATTTATGAGTGAGCTGTGATGATTCTGTTTTGATCAAGTGCTCTGAACCTTTTGGCAACTCTGGCAGGTTTCCATAGAATCAAAATCCAAAGTTGTTTCTGACCTAAAATTAACTTTAGGATTTTCTGTTTAGGCCCCTGAAAACCTTCAAAGAGTGAATGTCGTATCTTGTAGAGATATTAAATGATTCGTCTTATTTGGAAAATTATATAGAATGCATTGACAAATTATAAGTGTATCAGATCTTCTTTCAGTTATATTTATGGGTATGTTATTGATATAAATATCCTAAAAAGTAGGTAAACTCATTAAAATACAGTATGTTATCAGTCATAATTGATTCTTTTCTAAAGTTATACTTGTATGGATATGTTATTAATGTGAATATTCTGAAGATTATATGAAATTTATACAAGTCTGATGTCCCTATGATCCTGGTTGTTATCTTAAAACGCTGCGTGGAAGAAATAACTAATTCCTTGTCAGCTGGGAAATTTCACTGGATCTTAACCATGGCTATCCTAAGTGGTTGTCAGCCGCTGTTACTGTTCTGAATTATTCTCTGAAAACATCTGCAATCAGCTACATTCCAAAACTACTTTCTATTAAAATGACTCCAACAAGTGCTTTTTGTTTTTTTTGACATGGGGGTCTCACTCTGTTGCCCAGGCTGGAGAGCAGTGGTGAGATCTTGAAGAGGGAGACCCAGGGTTCTCAGATCAACTTCCCCTTTGACTATCATGCTGCATTTCAATAGAAGAAAAGGTTGACGGTTTTACCTTCCTATAGGTGACAGGCTAGGCCTTGGGGAAACTCTCCAGAAGGCACTATTTTTACTTAAAACAAGACCAAACCAGAAACCTTTTCACATGTGAGTCCTAAAACTGTAAACTGGAACCCTTTCACATGTGATTCCTGAAACTGTAAACCAAAACCTTTTCACATGTGGGTCCTAAAACTATGAACCTAAGATTCTTCCACATGTAACATCTAAAGTGTAAGCCTACATAAAGGCTGAACCTCCCTTTGGTAGACGAGCTTGGCTGTTAGGCACCTATGCCACCGTGCTCCCAGCTGAAATAAATTCCTTCCTCCTCTATTTGGTGTCCGAGAGATCCTTTCCCACGGCTGCTCCTGCTACAGTCTCAGCTCACTGCAACCTCCGCCTCCCAAGTTCAAGTGATTCTTCTGCCTCAGCCTCCCGAGTAGCTGGGACTACAGGTGGGCACCATCACACCCAGCTAATTTTTGCATTTTTAGTAAAGACAGGAGCTCACCATATTGGCCAGGCTGGTCTCGAACTCCTGACCTTATGATCCCCTAGCCTCAGCCTCCCAAAGTGCTGGGATTGCAGGCGTGAGCCACCGCACCTGGCCCAACAAGTACTCTTAAACACATTTCTGATAACTTTAAGATCAACAGACTAAATAAGAACTTACAGAACTCTAATATAATAAAGAAACTGATGGGTTCATAAAACTGCTAATGGCCAGCCTTGTAGTGTAAAGGTACTGAGTCTGACTCCATAAAATTGCTAATCAAGATCAATCAAAACTAAAATTTAATGACTTAAAATTAAGTAACTGATGACAATAATATGTTTGTGATTTTTCATTTTTGGTTCTTTAATGTTTTGTCTCACAGATTTTAAGAAATTTTTCTCATATACACTATCTATAATATACAACAATTTGGTAAAGCATACTTTCGCAAACAAAGACGGAACCATTTGCTTTTTCTCCCAATTGGCTTCCTCCCAAAATCTGCAAAACATTCGTATTCTTATTTTTCTTTGCATAAAGTCAATAAAAATCTGCTCTCAAGCAGGATACAACTGGAAATAAAAACATTGGTTATATTGCTGGGGTTCTGACCGAAATGTCTTATTTTAAAATGTGCATTGAATGCCTGGCTTCCAGAGTTCCTAGACTTAGAGTGAGTCAGTAAAAACTGTTGCTTCCTGGGAGGACCAAGATCCTTAAGACTGTACGTAAGATGTAAAACCTGCCCTGGTTTGGCTTCCTAGCTCAAGAGGTTTCTAAATCTGAGATTCTTGTGTGATCAATGTGGGAAAACAGGTTATATCTCTCTAGAAAAACTATAATATAATATACCTGTTATTATAGATTGTAGCCCTGTGCATTGTTTAAAAGTTCTTATCTACCTGTAGACTAGACTAGATCCGGAATTCTCCTAATTTCCTCCAATATTTGGTCACAACTCTCTAGCTGGCTTACAAAGCTTTATAAGCTGAAACTAGATAATGTTTATTTTTTTAGACGGAGACTCACTCTGTTGCCCAGGCTGAAGTACAGTGGTATCATCATGACTCACTATAGCCTCCGCCTCCCAGGTTCAAGTGATTCTTGTACCTCAGCCTCCCGAGTAGCTGGGACTACAGGCACACGCCACCACGCCTGTCTAAATTTTGTATTTTTGGTAGAGACAGGGTTTCACCATGTTGGCCAGGCTGGTTTTGAACTCCTGACCTCAAGTGATATGCCGGCCTTGGCCTCCCAAAGTGCTGGAATTGCAGGTGTGAGCCACTGCTACCCAGCTGAAACTAGGTAAATTTAAGAAATAAGCCTATGTCTGATTTATGAACCACAAAGATTCACCAAACTGCCCCAATGTTACGACCAAAGATATCCAAACTACGAACCAGAATAAAAAGTTGATATTTTTATGCTGTAAATAGCTTTTCCCAGGTAGTTGGAATAAGACTCCATATTGCAATGAGACTTTTACCCCTCTTAATACTACTTTTTTCACCTGGCAGACTAACAGTGTAATTGAAGTTTTACAATCAATAGCCTCTGCTGATAACTTAACAAAACCTAACTTAAGAAATACCTTCATATCAATCCATTAAGAAAATGTCTATGCTATTTCTAATATTACAAGCTGTGTGTGGATAAATTCCTCTGGGAAAGCTGAAACCCATCTATACAAAACAAAACAGGCCATACAGTTACAACAGGTGTCACCTAACTCCCTATAGTGATTTGATTTATTCAGTTGGTTTTCTTTAAGCCTAGATTCACAACTCAAAGCCATTATGCAAACTGACATTGTCATATTACTATTAAATTTAGTTTTTATTTTTCCTTTTTTTGTATCTGGG